AGTGGCTGGCATCTCTGTGTAGCAGTCATGAACTTTTTCAGACTTGACATGAGGTTTCACAGTTGCAGCAGTGTTGCAGTTTTACACAGCTGTGATCCCTCCTGGAGGACATGCATTGATTCAGGGGGGCATCTGAATCAGAGTGAAGCCTGTGGATTGTCCCAGATCCTAAAACTGCATGGGAAACAGGTAAAATTTTATTTGAGGCCTGCTACTACTTTTAGGAATAACATCTGCCTGTAGTAAACCAACACAGTAGGGAGTAAGAAATTACTCTTCTACATTCTGTACAGGGTGGCTGAGGTGAGAAGGAACCTCTGCAGATTATCTACTCCAACCTGCCTCGTCAAAGCAGGGGAAACTCAAGCTCAGTCCTCAGGGCTATGTCATCAAGGTTTTGAACATGTCCAAGGAGGGAAACTCCACATCCTCCCTGGGCAACTTATTCCAGTGTTCAATCACAGTAAAAATGGGGTTCTTTAGAAGAATTATTTTCTGTATTTCAATTTGTGCAATTTTCAAATTCTGACAACTGATGAACCCCAGTCTTGTGAGCTGCCCTGCCTCATAACCCTCTAGTGGCCTTGCTTGGAGTGGGCAGAACAGCCAAACGTAAAACCACGATCTAGGCTACTGCTGTTCTTGCTTTTCCAACTTTTTCTTGAATGGAGTTTCAAGTTGTTTAGGCTGAATTACACAGGGGAGAGTAGAAACATCTTCTGTATCTCCTTTAATTCTTGATTTCTTCACAACAGCTGTCAGTTTTAGTTTGTTCATCGATCATTCAGTTGAGCAAGAGCAATAAGATGAAGGACCACTCACCCCTTGATGTTTTTAACAATCCTGTCAGGCTTTGACAGCTTGAATGAGAGACATTTCATAAAATTATGAGTGAACTTTCAGATGTCTTTTTGAGGTAAACCACAAAACCCTTTGCTGTCAAACGAGCCCTAGCAGTAACTTTGGGGTGTTTTTTTTTGCCTGACTCAGCAGTCTGCTCACATCAGACCCATCAGTTTTTTTGAAACTTCTCTTTTGTAGTGAGCATTTGCAGCAGCATTAACACAGGTATTAACACGCAATTTACCTGTGGACATTACTGTTGCACATCAGCCATTTATGTGCACACAGCAAAAGGGCAAAATAGTTTAATGAAGACTCTTTAAAATGGACTAAGCTTCTCTGTTTCCCTGTCAGTTTCACCACCTGATTCAAACTTACAGTATTTCGCAACCAATTCAGTGTACTTTTTCTTCCCTGCCCCTGATCGAGTGGTCCACAGGGACTTTAGGTGATTCTTTAGTCCAACAACAAATACACTGTGTGTTTTTTGGTTACTTTTTCCTATAGCCATATCCTGACCTCACACGTTTTGTGAAGGGGATCCATTTGGCTCTTGGCTCAAACAGGAGGCCTGTGCAGCAGGCAGTGCCGCCAAGGCTCTTAGGAACAGTTGTGCCCGAGCTCTGCTGCTGTCTGTCAGTAGCTGCAGAAGCCCTTATGTCTGCCATGCTTGACAAAGTCCATCACCCAAAGAACAGGACCAGAGGTTTTTCTGCATTTACTGGTACAGGCGTGTCAGCGCAGCCTCTGTGAGGGCTTCCCAGAGTTTGCTCTTCAAGGTACATCCAAGCATAGTAGTTTATTTCCATACAGGCTTCTGCTGAGACAAGCACACGCAGCCTTTGCTTAGTTGACTGCAAACCCCATTTGAAGAGAAAATTTTGTTTACACAATGTACACACATGTGGTGCCAGAAGGATCTATTGTATTACATGAATAACAGTCATTATAAGCCTGCTCCAAACAGAATAGGTATCTGTTTCTGAGCCAGTAGCCAAAACCAGATGTAACCATGCAATTTATAGCTAACTAGGTAATCCATCAGCACACAGGATTCAGCTTGGAAAAACATTTTGAGTACCAGCTTAACTTTAAGTGTATGTTTATATACATAGATTTCAGTGGGGCAGACACATGTTCTAGAGCTAAGTGTGACTAGAGCTATGTGTGATTAAGTGCATTGCTGAAAGAGTATCACTAGAAAACTGCCTAAATTTTAGCTGTATGAATTTGTCTAGGGATAAATATAACAACAGCTTTGCCTTTGCTAGCTGTTTCTTTTTAGTGCAGTGCAATGTAAGCAAGATCCTATTACTCTGCAATATTGATGGCATACCTTCATGCATACATGATAGCAGATTCCCAGCATATCACATAGTTTAAAACTAATCTTTTCCACTACTGTGATGATGCTTTTTCCCAGTTTTAATCCTCAGAATCTTCTAAAAACAATATCAATCCTGTGTGTTAAAACTGTTTGAGGAAGAGGAGCCTACACAGTTTCCTAGTTTCTTGTTCTGTTGTCCTCTGCTGCCCTTTGTTGTCTGTACTTTTTTCCACACTCAGGAGAGAGCATGCTTTCTGCCAGAGTTTCAGCATAGTCTGTCACACGTCCTCCTGCTTGGAGCTCTTTTGTTCTAATACTCTTGACATTTAAGCTCGGGCACTTTAAAGGTTCTTTTTCTTTACTTTATTGTATGATTTATTGATTACTTCTAGCTTCTGTTTCCCTAAGCCTATTTCCTTTCATGTTTCTCACCCTTCCCACTTCTTGTTATTTCATTTCTCCATACAAATAGTGCTTCACAATTTCAGTTTTAAAGCCACTACCACCACACAAGTTTTTCTCCCATTGGCTTAGTGTAATGGTACTTTTTTACATACAGAGGGATAAAGGCATCGTAAATGATTACAGGGGTCATTGTTAATGGCGAATGTGTCACAGCCACACATTTACAAAGAGCTTGCTGAGCTGCACTGTCCTTTGCAAGCAGTCCCTGTAGAAGTCATAGGCACTACTCACAGATCAAGGGACTACTCAGTGTGGGAAAGTGACAGTGTGCACTGGGACTCAAGTCAGCACTGTAAGGTGAGAAGTCTCCTTCCCAAAGGCTGAGCTATGCTGGCTGTGCAAGCCTGAGTTAATAGCAGGATAACTATGATGCCAAATAAGGGGCATGCCAGCAGTTTAGGATTTTTGTGTCTACATATTGGCACAAATTCTGTGCTATTTGCTACCTGGTGAGAGCCACACAGCCATAACAGAGCATGGCTATGTGTGCTCTCATCCACACTTTCGCGAGGTACTATTTTGTGCTCACCACAGCAGCCAGCTGTAAAAGAAGGCTTCTACTCACCAGAAAGATCAGTTCTACCAGAAGAAACAAGCATGTAGCAGGAGCTGTACTAGGTGTGGGTCTCTGGGTGAGTCTTGGACTGTAGCTACCTAAATTGTCCACGTCTCGCTTCCCTGACATAGCGTGGGCATAATATCTGTGTCACCAGTGGCATCTTCTGATGACTTGAACTATATAAATAGTTTTTAAATCATCAGATGGGAGGGCGTAGAATGGAGTGAAACGTTACTACTGTGTGGCCAAACCCTATGTAAGACTTTGATTAGCCTTCTTTCTCTGTCTCCTTCTTTGTTATGGAACAGGACCCTTGTCTTTCTCATAAAAGTGTCTGTGTTCCCATCCTGGACTGAGCAACACATTGGGCCCTTTTACTTCCCATCCGTGCCCAAAGTACTGCAATGATTTGCTGCTGTACATATGCTACAGCAAAACACAGTAATTCAGCTAGATTCAACTAGAAGTTTGAATAGTAGGCATTAAGGAGTACATTGCCCCAAGGTAACAGCTTGATTCTATACAGTACAGTGCTGTGTTTGGACGGGCACTTTTGCTCACTTTCAACTCAGACATAAGGGGGTTGAGAGCAGAGTGTAACCAATACCTGAATATAAACATGCTCCAGTCAATTAGGTAGTGAGTTTTCTGTCACCCAGGTTTCTGTGCAAATGAAGAGATATCAAAGATGCAGAAAATGATTGAACTCAGCTGAAAATGTACCTCCTGCTTGTGTTCCAGAGTAGATAAGACCTTTTTACTAGCAAAACCAGAGCATTGTTCTTTACATTTTACCTTTTCAATACAGATCCAAAACTAAATTGCCAATAAAATTTTATGAGAAAAGAAATTCTTGTTAGAAACTTTATCTCAGGGTATTGATTTTGCTACTGTGAAGAAAACTGCTCTCTAAAAGTTAATAAGAGTGAGCAAGGATAGACTTTTAATTGTCTGATTTAATTTAAAATCATCCAACATATTAAATATTGGTAAGATTATGATTTAAAAGGAAGAGGTAACTTGCCAGTTTTCCTACGTTTATATGTCAGATAGAGGATTTTAAATAGTGAAAAGTTGGTCTTAGGTATATGTTAGTCTGTGAACAGAGGTCCTTATTAAACTGTGAATACAGCTGACTAAATCATTGGTCTCTAGTTTGTCTATCAAGATATCTGATGCACATATTGAAGGATGTTACTCTGGTTCATTTTACATGCAGCACACCGAAGGGGGCTGTAGTCCTAGAGACTTGTACTAAGTTTTACTTTGCATTAAAAACTCAGCCAAAAATTATACAGCCTAAGACTGAGAGACTTCTAAATAGTAGTAACTGTGCTTTCACTAACACCAGAAATTTGGCAATTATGCTCCTGGCAAGAAAATTGATTTAACCAATAACAAATATTAGTGAGAAATATTTTCACTGTGCTTTTATATATATGTATGTATGTATACACATCTACACATGTATGTTATATGGACATGTACTTGTCTTTCTATTAGGCAACCACAAAGTGATGCCTTCTGATGAATAAGAAACTGAATGAGCAAATAAGAGAATGCTGTGAGTTTTATTCTTTCTCAGCAGTGGGAACAGTATTAGCCAATTCTGTGGCTAGAAATATTTTAGAGAGAGCCCTCAGCAAGTTCCCACTTATTTTCTCCTTCCAGAATCTGCACAAAACACATACATTAAAAAAAAAAAAAAAAAAAAAAAAAAATTCAAGGTATTTCAAGATTACCTATTTGCTTTTGTGTAAGAGGAATTTGAGTTGCTTATAGAAACTGCTGGTTTGTTTCTTCCAGGTTGCCTGGAGAATTACCTCAAAGCAACCAAAGGCATGTTACCCTTCCCTAGGACTCTAATATGATGCATGGGACCCCACTGCTCTGCCAACTCCCGGGTTGCAATACAAATGAGGGATTCTGCCTCAGACCCCTTCGTGGTGGACTGATGCTCTTACATGGGTTTTAGGAGTGTTATCCTGAGATGAATTCAAGTGAGGCAAGCTCGGGAGCTGGCAAGCACAAATAAATCTCTAAGTGAATGACCTGGTAGTTCGTGTGTGTATGTGTGTGTGTCCTTCTTCCCTACTTAATTTTATTCCAGGAGTGGCTACCGTCTTGTACTATTGTGACTTTCCTTTTTAATGTCATGGGTGCCTGCCAGATGCTAGATACTCAGAAGAAGATGGCCACTTGGGCTCTTTCCCGTAAGCCATGTCCCGAAGTAAGTTCTCACACACAGAAAAGAAATTCAGGACAACAGAAAGATATCAGTGAAAAGGTTCTTTTAGAGTAAAAATTTGGTGGAGATTAAAATAGGGCAAAAGTTCAAATGAGAACGAACCACTGCCAAGCAAGCAAGAAACTTGGCAAAAAGGAAGGAAAAGAAACATTGGTTTAAAAGGCAAGTAACCATGGCAAGGCAACAGCTCAATGCTAGAATCTGGTTAAGAGCTAATATCACACAGAGCTGGGATTGTTTATTCAAGGCTAACCCATGAGAGAACAGTTGTCTCCAATGAGTGTTCTCACAGCTTGGATCCAAAATTATAACTGCATTTTTTTTAAACATCCAGCACTTCTTCACAACCCATTTGCTGTTAGACAAAAGAAAAAGAAAGTACAAAGTTTATTCTTAGTGTCCCTTGTGTGTTTAAGGCACAGCTTTACATATGGAAAGGCATTTCATGTCAGCTGTTGAACCAGTATCATGCTATTCTGCAGCAGTTGCCAATGGAAACTGTTGATACATTCTGACTAGCTTTCCCAAGTTTCAGAACTGGGAGCAGAGTATGGTTTAAGGATGTTTTGTTTGTGGGGGTTTTTGGAGGGTGAGAGAAGAGGTCTTGTACCTATGAGTTGCATTACCATACTTGCCATACAAAGCAGATAATGGACTGTGGGAGGTAACAGCTGTGGAATTAAGTTTAGGCATGAAATAAAAATAATGGCAGCTTTGATACAAGCAATAATTTACTAAAGATGTTTTGTGGCTATCAGCAAACTCACCACATATCCACACATCCATACACCTGCTTAAGTTGTGCACCTGTTGTCCTACAAATAAATCAAAAGGGGAAAATGGAAGCTCTTAATGTTCCGCTATAAATAAAAGATGATTAATACCATTATAGTGACAAACAGGTATTGGCAGCACACAGAAAGAATGGAAGATTGTCATCTAATTTGTGCTTTTGTTTTGACATCTAGATGAGCTTGGAATACATATACAGTGCTAGAGAGCACAGCTGCAGCCCAGCAGATGAGAAAAAGAGAGCAGGTCAAATCCATCTTTCACTGTATGTCAGAAGTAGCTCAACCAAAGCAGGGATTTTCATGGAAATGAGCACAACCTGATTTTTCTACAAACTGGGTGATTTTATCGCTTACGCTGCTTTGTTGCTCAGAATATCTTGGGCTAAACTAATACACGGTGGTCTGTACCAGGTCTGCAAGTCTCAGCACTTTTGGGAACCTGGCTTTACAGCTATTCTTTGGAGACCTACAGGTCTGCATGGAAGGCCTTTTTTTCAGAATTAACATGTATGTCCTTAAAAAGATCTTTTCAGGCTAAGATCTAAATCACCACATTTGCACTTTGTGGAATCATTTACACATATGCAGAGGGCAGCTTTGAGAGTTGCTGGAGTCTTTGGTCAACAGGGCACATGAAAATTGCTGTGTAGACAACTTCAAAGTTCCCCATTTACCCACAGGCTAATTAAAATTTAGGCAATAGAAGTACAATATCTTTGAACTTCCCTACTTCAGAGCTGGCTACACTGGCTGTCAAGGTGATTTTGCAAAAAAAAATTGTTCTTAAAGGAGAGGGTTGGGTTTAGAGGGTGAAGCTGAAGTACTTCATTTGCTTCTGTCCTGTCCTTCCCCACAACCCCATCTCACCCAAAGGCATGCCATTCCCCTCCAACAAAGCAGCTACCTCATCTGTGAAGTCAGGCTTTCTGGTAGTCTAAGAAAGGCAGTCAGGCAAATCAGCTTTGTAACAGTGCCATTCCTTCTTTTACGGGGCAAGGTATGGGCCAGTTTTCCAAGGTGCAATTTATTTTACTGCGTTTATGGAATCTGAAGTGTGTTTTGCCCACTCCTGAGTAAATGTAGTTTGTATTAGGGGCAAATAGCTCCAGTGCTGGGAGATAGAGGGCTTGGTGTCTGGTATGACTGCATTTTCCCTATGCCTTTACGTATCATAGAATCAAAGAATCACAGAATGGTTTGAGTTGGAAGGGACCTTAAAGGCCATCTAGTTCCAGCCCCCCTGCCCTGGGCAGGAACACCGTCCACTAGACCAGGTTGCTCAAAGCCCCATCCAACCTGGCCTTGAACACTGCCAAGAAGTACCTCCCCAAACTCCCACCTGCCATTGTATCAAACCAAACTGCTACAGCACATTAGAGAGATACGCAGTCTTCTATTTCATTTGGTTTTTTTTTGCCTGTCATCTAAAGTCTTTCTAGGTTGAAAAATCATAACCTCGTATTTTTGTGGTGCTCTGCATCCCACCTGCACTAATCTCCTAATGTCAGGTTCTGTATCGCTGGCACATCAATGGAATGCACAGTGGTCTTAAGGAGCACAGAGGCTTTACACTGATTTTTATCAGTATATGTACTTTATACAATAATAAATATATATTTATATATATACTTTGTGGGGGCAGAGTAGGGGTGACTACATTTGATCCCAGGCCCCTGTGCAGGACAAAATGTGCTCTCAGATTCTCTCCGATCAGTCATGAAGACTTTCATACTCACAGCCTGATCCAAAGGGCACTGAGTCCTTCTCTGCACAGATATATCACTGCTATGAACAGGTGCTTGTACAGAAATCAAGAGGCAATTCAAAGCATATGTGAAAGCAGAACTCAGCCTACTGTTAGTGCATATCTTAAGTTTGCTAAAGAGTAATATACGTTCCACTTTTGTGTTATTGTCTTTTCCTTGGTTGTCAGTGAGCACCTTTGGATTCTGTAGTATGAAGTGGGGACATGTTGTCACTCTTCCTTGACAACTCTCTCCTTCTTCACTGTTGTCAGGAATTCACAATCGAAATGACTCATGTTATGTGAGCAAATATTGCCTTAGTTTGAATGATTTTATTTTCCTTGCATCCACCTTTGAATGTTACTATAGTAATATCTCTGTTTTTCCTTGTCAGGGAACTGTCACGGACAATTTCATAAACCTTTTATGCAGCTACAGTGCAAAGAAAATGATGCATTTATTTTATGCTTGCCTGTAAATAAAAAGGGTATTTTAAATGTACGGCATATAATTGAATCATAAGGAAAGAATAAGGTGCCAGAACCAAACAGGTTAAAAAATGAGAACATGCTGGAATTCTCTCCCTTGCTCAACCTTTTCCCAGAACAATACCTCATCCCATTCACTTCTTTTTCTGGACATGAGCAGATGGAGAACCGGGAATTGAAAGAGCTAATTCCCTGGCTTTGTGCTGCAGCGACAATAGCACACTATCCTTCAGCCACTGCAAGGAAGGACTAGGTCGTACTGCTGGCTGGAACATGGCAAGTCACTTGATAGGGAGACCATAATAATTTGTTCTCTAGGCATCAGGGGATGAAGTGTCCTCACTGGGAGGGTCTGAAAGTGGGACTTTTCAGATGCTTCAGTTGCTAAGATTCAAAAAGTCTTCTCCAGACATGAACATATGGTGATTTTCATTTTATATATATATATAATTTGCCACATTTGCGAAAAATGTCCACAAAAATGGCAAACAAGCATATGCACAGAACATCCTGAAAGTATCAGGATGTTTCCTGATCCAAAGTTTCAAGTAGCACAGTGTTAGAATATCTTAATGAGGGCTGTATGCTTTCTTTTCTTCCTAAACAAATAATTCTCCCTGATTTCAATCACAACTTTAAAAAAAAAAGAAAGGTGAAGTATTTTGGTTGAATTTCTCCCATATCCTTACCTTTGGATGGATCATAGGAAAAGAAAAATGTTCAGTTCAATAATTTAGTTCAAACAATTACATTTGGTAAAGTTCTGAGAATATGAAAGCAGTGTGTTGCAATGGAAAGATCTTCATGGTAGAAACTGTGATCTGTGCGTCCTCTAAAGAAGAGCAATCCATCAGGTGGGCCAGTTCAGTCTAGCCTGCAGACTTGGTCCGCTGCAGGCCAGTAAGACCCCCTACACCTGAATGTCACCAGTGTGTGTGGAAAGACACCTAGACTGCTGAGACATCCATCAAGGATGGAAAAGACACTGGAGATGGGTTCTCTTATCCACATGGCTTTTGAGCAGGCCTAATAGCAACACTTTGTCTCCCCAGTCATCACCATTAATGTCATAGTAGAGGTTGTGAGACACTACTAGAAATGTTTGCATACATCTCTCTCCTGTTACCAGTAACATCCCATACTAAACAGGTCTGCCTGTCACTCCCATGTATGTGGTTCGCTGTGTGTTACATGGGTTGGCTGCTGCATCTTTCATTGCTTACTCAAGTGTGGCTTTTTCTGAAATTAAAGAATTTGCTCAAAGCCCCACAGATTGACATGTGTCCAGTAAGCAGACCAAGACCCAAAGAGGCAATTCGACATCCCTGTAGTGTCTGTCAGGAATTCCTCTTTCTTCTTCTCTATACCCTCCTTGAGCCTCCTGCTGCCAGTTCTCCCCATCCAGAGTATTGGAGTGCCAGTCACAGAGACGTCATAAGCTGAAGGAGAAGGTGCTGGATACTGCTGCATGAGCAAAACCAGCCAGATGTCTGAGTATGTGTAAGTACCAGGATCTGGCAAAAAGTGAATACAGGTTTTCTCTGAGCCCTGAAATGAGCTAGAGAACCCCTGTAAGAGTAGAGCCTCAGAAGAGCCTCAGTCGGCATCCTGAGGTCTAACCTGCCCTGGGAAAGTGACCTGTCTTTGCAGTGAGTAGGAATTTCATGTGGGCATTAGGCTTTCTCAGCTGAAACCATTCCTACATAAATTATTGCTTTTAAACCTCCTTAAAAGAGGTTGAAAGCACAGAACAGCTAGGAGAAGATACCGTATTCCCCATGTTAAGTGAGGTTACC